ACCCCTAACTCGAACCCTGAAGGCTCTTCCCCGACAACCCCCGACAACACATTCGATGCCGAGACCCGGAGAGCTACTCTAATTAGAATTGTTCCCGTCCCCGAATTTCGGGGAATTTGAGAAAACTAGTTCCTTGTTGTTGTTATTTTTGATTCCATTTTTTTATTTTTTTTTTAAATTCAAACTCAACAACTGTCAATAATTTAATTTTAATTTCTTTCTAATTATTTTTTTTTTAATTTTTTCTGTCAATCAAATAATCTGAAAATTTATCATTTGTTATTTCTTTAACTAATTTTTGAACCTTGAAATGAAAGACTTCTTTTCAATTCTTTTGCTTTACGGACTTTGTACCTGCCACGGACTTGAACAAACTGATTGAGGGCATTCCCAGTCCAAAATGTTATCTTTTATTTAATTTTTTAAATTTTTGATCATGTTTTAATTAACATTGAATCTTCTTTTTTACTATATAACACTGATATTAATTTAATAATATTACTAGGTCACTAAATATGCTTTTATACCGGCCTAGCATGTTCTTGGCGGGCATTAGTTCTTTTTGGATATATTTTCTATATACACAGTTCTAAGCTCACTCTATCCGACTATACTATACCCTATATCTGAAAAATTTTGAAGTTTGCCAAAAACGCAAAAAATGTCAAAAAAGATACCAATTGAGTTATCTATTCTTCCTCTTTTTATTTGAAATATTTTTTATTTTTTATAAAAACTTTTTTATCTTTTCTTAAAATAAAAAAATAACAAAAAAATTTTTGAGATTAAAGTTTTTTTTAATTTCAAAAAATTTATTTAAAAAATAATTAATGAATCGGGGAGGTTCCAAGCTTTCTATTTTTTTGTCCAAACTTTTTTTCAATCTCTTAAATTTTTTATAATCAATCCTTCAATTTTTGATTTTTATTTGTTTAAAAATTACTTTTTTCAAATCACATTTTTCAAATTAAAATATTTTTATAAAAAATATTTTTGTTCATTTTCCTACCACGTTTTTCGCTTTTTTCTTTATTTTTTATTTTCTATTTTTATTCAAAGTTATTTTTATTTTAATTATTTTTATTACATCCCTTGTCATAAGAAACACAAAGAATCTTCTTTTTATTCATTTTTAATTTATTAGTTGCTTTTTGTTATATTTAATCATCAGCTGTTTAATTTTTCCTAACATTTCTTTATTATTTCAATTTCAAGGAAAACTTTTTTTTAATATTCGTTATTAGTATCAAAAAATTACTCTAGGTATATTTTGAGAAACATTATTTTCTATAGAACAAAAGATAAAATTTATTTTATCTTATTTTTTTAATTGGACCTATTTGAGTTAACAAGATTTACGAAACAAGAAGTTTTCAATTTGAATTCTGACCGACTTTCGATTTTTAAAATTTTTCTGAACAATGTATTAATGACTTGTTTTGTGAGAATTAAAAATTTTTATCAGAAATGATAGTTTATGATAATTTTCTCAAATACCCTTCCTACTTTGATACTTCTATCAGTTCTTTGGAATATTAGATTTTTCCGATGTTTCATTTCTTACTTTCGGGAATTGATTGAAATTATGGAAAGTTCAATAAGGAATTTTTGTTTTTAAGAATGATTTTCAGAAATTCTTTTTCTTTTTTCATAAATTTTTTTCAAAAACGATAAGAACGCAATTTAATTTTTGCCTTATCTACCCATGCGAATTCAGTTTTTCTTTCAGTTTTTTTACTTTTCGATACTTTTTTTTGTCTAATAAAATTTTTTCAAATATTTTACTTTATTCCTTGGCCTTTTTAATTATTTTACATTTTATTTTAATTCGTCCGTTATCATTTAATCATAAAATAAGGGGCTTTTTAATATTAAAAAATGGCGAGAAATCCTAGTAATAAAAAATAAAAAAAATTCGAAGGAAAAATTTGTAAATTTTTTTTGAATTTTTGAGGGGTTTTTTCTTTCAAAATCATTATTTTAATGATGATTAAATTTACTAACTGATAATGTGATCGTTAATGTTTTAAAAAATATTTTAAATTATGTATTTATCAGAATTAAGAAAATATTTTTTAAATTATTTCAATTATTTTTTCAATTTTTAGGAGTATTTAACTATAAATTTTAATTCATTTTAAAGCTGGGTCCCACTAAAACTTCCATACAGTCCGGCCCCACTTTCACTATACTCTCGTGCTCAACATATTTATCTTATGCAGGTAAAAGTAAGTTTTACTGTAGTGAGTGGTTTTGGATCTTGTTCATGTTGCATCTTTCAAGCATGAAAAACGAAATTAAATTTAGGGTTGGACGCAGGCAACTGCGACCCCGTTTGTATCTTTTATTTGTTGGAGTCTTACCAGGGCTTTTATTAGAGCCTTTGCGGTAATTACTAGTATGTTTTTTTGATATTTATTTTTTCAATTAAAATTATTTTTCTAAGCTGTTCAATATTTTTAATTATTTATACGTTCCTTAATTATCACATAATTAATTATCTAATTAATATTATTTTCCAATCTTATTTTTTAAATTAACTTTTCAATAATTTTATTTACTTTTTTTCAATTTAAATACTTTGTGTGGTACTCTATAAATTTAATTTAAACAAATTACTCATCCAAATTTATATTTGGAATTTATATTTTTTTATCTTTTTTATATCTTCCATAGAACACACAAAATTCACGTGTATTTTGCTAAATAAATAATTAGTTATTTATTTTTGGAATTTATTTAAATAATATTTAGTCTGAAATTTTTATTTTAAAAATTATTAAATTTTATTTAGATTTTTAATAAAAATAAACTTTTTTTAAATTGTAAAATATGTTGTCTATAATCAAATAATTTTGCCTAATAATTTATGAAAAAGATTATTATCCTGAATTTTTTGATTATGCCTTATAAAAGTATGGTGAATAAAATGTTATCTTAGATCTTTCCTAAAAAATTTATTTAGCCAGATCCGGATTTGACATATCCTAGCCAAAAAATCAATTTTGCCGTCTTTAATACATACACCCTAATTTTTTAATTTAAATTCTAACTGTTCGTTTTTATATTGTCTTAGATAATCGCTTATATTTTACTCTGGATTTGATAAAATTTAATTTTCTTGAATTCATATTATTTGGCAATAAATTAATTATAAATAGAGGCCGCACCGAGACGAGATCTCGATCGAAAATCTCAGTTATCGTGATCGAGAATTCTCCCAGTTCGGTCTCTAATTATACGCAAAATTTTTAAAAATTAATTTTTAGTTATTTAATTAATTTATTTATTTATTTTAATTCTATTTTTATATATAATCTGCTTTCAAAGATATTTAAAAAATATTTAAAAAAAATTCTTCTGGCATCATTTTCCTTAATCTGTAAAAATACTTCCTCAATACCTGGAAAGATTATAGATAATTAAATAAATTATTTTTAGAAATAAAAATGAAATTCAGTTAATTCTAAATAAAATTATAACAAAAAGACCATATGAACCACACACCAAATGCCCTAAAACACGTTCAGATTTCAAACCACGTATAATTACTTTCCCTCGATTAATTACTCTCTCCAGTGGAAGGTCTAAACAATAATTACACAAGGTAGTTATAAAGGATATACGGTACTTATTATACAAATTTTAAAATTTTTTCTTTAATTATTTAATTATATTTAATTATTATTTTGTATAATTTTGCAATTATTATCATTCTAATTTTTTGTTGGTCTAGCCATTTAATTTTTTTTATTTTTAATTGATTATTTTATAAAAAATATTTTTAGTAATTTTATTAATATAATTAGTTAATTAAAATATACTTTTATTATTAACCTCCAAATTTTATTTGCTTTTTATTTAGTTTATGTACATTTTATCACCTAAAGATTAATTTTAATATTTAACTTCCTCTTTTGAGCAAATATTTATTTAATGACCTTTTTCAAAAATTCTCATTAATTAATTTTTAAAACTATTTTTCCTTTATTTTAATAACATATATTTATTACTGGTTCGTGGATCCTTTAAATTTTCTGAATTTGATTTTATATCCGAACTAAAACTTGCTCGAGACCCTGACTTTTATATAAAAATTGTATCATTGATTTAAATGCCTCTATTTTTTATTAATATCCATCTAGAGATCGATTTAGGAGAGTCACACAAAAGTGTCACACACAATTGCGTTAAATTTTCTGGATCTGATTCGATATCCCAACAGAACTTTCTCAATTATCCTGGCTTCCATTTAAAAATTTTTTCAATGGTTTACATATGTACCTCCATTTTTTTTATTAATATCCATCCATCTAGAGATCGATTTGGGAGTTTCATACACAAATCTAAATCATTATCTCGTAAAATATCACTCGGTAATTGTAATTTTTCTTCCAGCAATTGTCTCAGTCCAATTACTATTTCCAACCATATCCATTCTTTCATAATTATAATTATTTCTCATTTCTAAGAAATTTTTATTATTTTTTCGACAAATTTATAGGCTTTTTAATTATTTTTTTTACTTTTTAGACGCACACAGAAAATTTGCTTTCGTTTAATAATTTAAAAAAATATTTTTTAAAAACATACTTCCATAAAAAACAACATTAAATTATTAAAAAATATGCCACCTTTATCATTCCGTGTAAATGAAGAGTATGCTCAATTGTCTGAAATAATTCCTGGTTTATTCATTTGTGGTGTTAATGGGCTTACAGCAGCGAATATTTGTGCTTTCCGAATTCAATTAGTTGTTAACTGTACACGAGAGGTTCCGAACCTTAAATCTTTGGGACAAGTAACAAGAATGAAATTGTGGGTTGAGGATACTCCCGAAGAAGATTTATTTGCTCATTTTGATATCGTTGCTGATCAGGTAGATAATTGACTGTTTAACTAAAAAAAGATGAAATAGGACAGCCTTAGCCGTTCGAATTCGTAACATTTTTTCCTAACGTCGTCCCATTTAGATAATTTCACTTTTTAAATATTAAAAAGGAACATTAACAGCCTACTCGTTAAAAGTCCAAAAAAGTTTGCCGCGAAATCGCCCGGTGTTGGGGCAAGCTCACATTTAAATCCTTTGTTACTGTCCCTACTATCGAATTGGTTTGTGTAGAAGTTCAAACGAATTATACATACATTGCAAGTTAAATTATAAGAGTCTAGAGCACTCTGCTTCCTCAGAAAGTCCAGAGGAATGACAATCGAAGGTCCCCCAGCTTGCTGGAGGTCCCCCTTCCCGTTCTCCGAATACGAATTCCCGTAACCATAAAATCGGTTTAGAACCCTTGAATAAACTTTTAACCTAGTCTTATGAAAAATTATTTGCCAGATGCATGCCATTATTCGAGATGGTGGTGCCGTTCTTGTCCATTGTGTTGCGGGTGTTAGTCGTTCAGCAAGTATTTGTCTTGCATATTTGCTCAAATATCGAACTCGGTCATTACGTGATGCTTACCATTTAATGTGTGAAAAACGGCCTTTAGTTAGACCAAATATTGGATTTTGGAGGCAATTAATTCGTTATGAACAGGTCCTTTAATTTACTCGACAAAAATTTATTTTTAAAATTTTATAGTTGATCAAAGGTAATATTGGCTCAGTGCGAATTGTGAGAGATGAGGCACAGCCTGATAAATTACTTCCTGATGTAAGTTTGTGAAAGATTTTGTTTTGAATTTTAAAATGAAAAAACCATTATTTTTTGGCATTATTTTTTATACCTATCAGATGTCAGTTGAAATCCGATTTCTGACTTTTTTTCATTTTTTTCTGATTTCCTACAGTTTCGATTCCGTCTTCGATGTTTCGTAAATTCCTTCTCTGACTGTAACTCCAGGAGAGATACCCACTAGGATTATTACAGCTTCATCCTTTGTCTTTCTCTCATTTTCGCCTTTTGTTCGCCTTACGGGGTTAGCTTTTTAAAATCAGCATCGGCACACCTTAATACTCAGCAGTGATTATAGCTGAATTAAAACCTAAGTTTACCATAACAATTTTATTAAACTTCAATTAAATCTTTTTAATTTTTTTTCCAGGTTTACCTCAAATCTGTCATTCCTGATAAATATAGCCGTCCATTGTCTCCCACAAATGTTGGTGAGGATTCTTCTGTTCATCATTTAAAGCCTATGGCCGATGAAAGTTATTTGTCTGGACATACTTCTGGTTCGCATCGACGTCGTTCTTCTTCTGGTGGTTCAGATCGTGTTCGTTTTGTTCCAGTTTTGGAGCCTTTAGCTGAACTTGCCGAAGCTGCAGGATAATTTTTTGTAGTAAAAATTAAACGATTAATTTATTTAATCAAAAAAAATTATTTTAAAAATTGTTCTCATATTTATCTCTCTCTCTCATTTTTTATTCTTTATTATTTACCTATTTATTTTTAATCACCATTTCTTGAAATTTAAATATGTATTTTATTTTTTTAAAAATGCTACTTGTCTTCATCAATTTAAAGAAAATTTAACTTCCGAAATTTAAAGGCAGGGAATTAGGGTAGGTAATGAATTATCTAATTTATTAATTAATGAATTAGGTAATAATTACCTTAATAATTATTAATGAATTAGGGTACACCTATTAGGTATTGAGTTTCGGGGATTGGGGTTGCCGGGAAGGGTATGTCGGTTTTCTTGGGACTTGGTAGTACCCTTAATTTAAACTAATTTTTCTCTTAGTTTGGTCGCGACAAGTACCAAATAGAATTTTCCCAATTATAATTTTTTATGTTTTCTAAAATTTTTTGGGTTTTATCAATTCCCACACATTTTTACATAATTATTTACATAAATTGAAGATCACATGTATGTAAATTTTCAAAAAACTTTTTATTATATTAATTTACCACAACAATCTACCTATTTATTTAATCAAAAATTGCTTTATTTACAACGATTTTGTAAAAAAAATTTTTTATTGTTGTTTACATTTGAAAATTTCAATCAGTTTACATTATTGTTTAAATAAATTTATGGCAGTTTTGCCGTTCTAAATGAAATAAATTTTATTTAAATTATTAAATTATAATTGGTTCCGGTACACTTTAGTAAAGTAAAAATAAAATTTAAAAGATATACATAATTTCAAATTTAATTAAAAATTATAAACAAGCCTATCAATTAAATTTAACGTGGTGTAATTGTTTCAAGCTTGATGTATATAATTTTATTAACTAGTAATTTTAGTTTAGGCATGTAACTTTTAAGCTACATTATTAATTAAATTTCTAATAAAAAATTGAGGTAATATTTTTATAATTCTATAGTAAGATTTTTGTTTGAAATATTTCAGTAAAATTTCAATTAATTATTTTATATAAATTTTAAAAATATTTATTACAATATTGTCAGTTAACGACAAATAAAATCCAATTTTAATTTCCAAAATAATTTTTAAAAAATATTATACTACATTAATTAATAATGAATAATAAGACATTGAAATTACCTGTTAGTTTGTTTATGTGTCGGTAAATTTTAGAGACGTTTGATATACATTAATCAAAACCAAATGTTGATCCCAAAACCGACGAACTCACAGTTGAACAAGTCGAGATCTATATCGATATATCAAATATTGGTCTTTTTCCAATATCGACATCGTCCAACTCTACTCACAACTAATTTTGAATTGCAAATTTCTATCAGTTCACCTGAGCTTTCAGCTTTTAAACACCCCCTATCGTTTTTAACAGGTCCTAAAAGTTGAAATATTTTGCCGACTTTTTTAATCTAAAAATTAAAAATAAAATTTCAAGGAAATTTTTCTGGCTTATCAATCTTCTGGCTTTCAATTTGCAATTTTTCTTCCTGCATTTTTTATGGGTTTAATTTCTTTTTTTGGAATTTCAATGAATTCAAGTGTTTGTTATATAGTAGTGAAATATTGGTAATTTAAATCTTGAATATTTATAAAATTATTACCACTGATTACCTCATAGGAAGCCTAAATTAGTGAGATAATCAATTAAGATTAGCAACCTAAATATCAAGGCTGGGCTAATTTTTCATTTCGCGTTTTACATCATATACTTTCCACCTACCGCATTTCGCTTTTAATTTTTAGATTTCGCCCAGTCTTGCTATGTACATAAACTTACTCTAGTTTCAAAGGTTGAATTCAAAGATGAACCGTTGCAAGCTACTCTATAAAATTTAATCAGGTTAAATAATTTAGGGGAAAATATACGGCAATGAAAAGCAAAACAAGCATTTTACTGGCTATCAACTCGTTTTGTGAAATTTTACATCAAATTGGCCATTTATTCTTCTTGATTTTTACAATAAAAGGAAGTAATTTTGTACCAGCTATATTAGCTTTTAAATATCAAGCTATACCGATCTTTGGATTATTTGCATCAATTTTTATGTTTGCATCTTTAAGTTTGGATAGAGTTTTTGCCATTGCATTTCCAATATTGTAACTAATTTTATAAAAATTATGAATTAAATGTACAGAGAGGTTGTGATTTAGGAGAATAAATTAGAATCACGTTAATATTAGACTATTAATTAACATAAATAAGTATTTAACAAATAAAATTTAAAAATTTGAAACGCAATCCGAAATGGGGACTATAAGACCACCCTAGATAGATCCCCCTATATAAGACCCCTAGATTCGATCACACCAAGTCTCCAGTAAGCTTGGTGGATCCAGATCCGAAAAAAGTCTGAACGTTACTAACGGACCGGTAATTTTCGGTATTTCCGTTACCAGAATCGTAACGATAAGATTTTGGAATTTTTGACGCCAGTATGAAAAAGTATAAGACCCTATAAAACCCCCTAGAGAGACCCATTTAGAGAGACCCATTTTTTACTTATAAGTGTATTTATTTGTTTTAATTTGTCTATTTTATACAGTTATATCAATCTTAATTCTCATTTCTATATTTCAATACATCTGATAATAATTATTAATTTTGGAATATTCATAGTTTATTTGACTTATATTTCAATAGATGCATATCCAAATTGGCCTGTAGCTAATTTTTTAGGGGAGGTTATTGGCGTAACTGCTCTTAATTCATTTGATTCCAGAATTATTTTGATACCATTAATGTTAATTGCTATTATATTACATATTGCTGTTGGAATTCTTGTAAAAATTAAAGGAGGTAAACTGATATGTATTTATTGTTATATAGTTGAAATTTATCGCCCAAACACCGAAATAATTAATTTAGGGTCTTATTTCAATTATAAATCAAAAAATTTTCGCCTGCCGCCTTAAATATTTAGTTAAGAATTTTTTATAAACCCCGATACACGACAAAAAGTACCTGAAGCCCGATATCCCCTACACTATCGGCCAATGTCAACCCAGAAGTGTAAGGGAGCTACTCTATCCCTTATAACAAAATATCCCATGTAAAGAATACAGCAAACAAACATTGTCAAACTTATAAAAATCTATCAAATATATATTTTCATATGTCGGATTCTAAAATCTTGGAATTTAAAGAATCTTAAAAATAGGAAACCACAAAATTAAAATTTTTTAGATTATTTTAACTTTTTCTGATCGAATTATTTTATGTATATATATACTATCTTAACTTATTTTTGTTATTTCTATTTTATTTTTTACTTAATTTTATCAAATTTATAAAGATTTGCAAGACGAAAAGATGCGTAAATTGTTACGTTCGCTTTCTCTAATAGTTTTTGTAAATATTGGTGGTTATTTTATCGTTTTGACATTAGCTGTTTTATGGCCATTATTGGGGTTATCAGAAATTGATATTTGGTTTTTAAGAACTTATTTTGGGATTATACTTAATATATCTGCAGCTTCGAATGGTCCTATTCTTTTTATGAACAGGTTTGGTGATTCAAATTAATAGCAAATTTACAAGTAGTTTGAAATAAATTTTTCAGTTCTGATTTTAATAATGCATATGCTAAGGAATTTGGACGAATTAAAAAAGCTATTAAAAATATAAATTCTCAATGATGAAAATATTTAAATACAATTTCACAATTTTATTTCAAATGCTTTTCACTATTACTATTTTCACAATTCGTTTTACTTCGCATTATATACAATTCGAGAATTTAGTTTTTGTGTTTAAATTTAATACAAAATTAACATTTTAATTTTTACTTTTTCATATGTAATTTACTTATGGACATTTTTTACTTATATTTAACATCAAATTTACTTTTTTTTATCTCTCATACTGTGAAAATAAACGTAAAACAGGTTTAAGATCTTTAAAGAAATTTCGAAACCTAATAAAATTTTTTCGACTTATTCGAAAGCCATTTAAATTTGCTACAAGATAGCAATTGTTAATCTAACTGATTAAAAATTTTAAGAAAAGCTTACAATTATTTCCCGATCCTAAATTGTTTCCAATTTGTAAATTTAGCTTTTTGCCATTATTCGAGGAAACGAGTTTGGCATGTGCCAAAAAAGGGCTGATAATAAATTCTTGCATTTCGTGTTTACTTTTTAATGAACTTGATGTCAGGTTCTAATTAGCTTGTGCTCTATTTTGGGAATTTTTTTAAAGCTCAATACTAGTAATTAAATTAATTTTATTTAATAATATTGTAATTAAGTTTTTATGTTGTATTTGTCGTGTTAAGTGCTTAATTGACTTAAGTTAGATGTATGTAATTTCATTATTTATATAGAAATTTGGGTTTGTTTCACAATTCTCAGAAAATGTTATATTATAAATTTAATTTATATTCAAGAATAAAATAATATAATATTTAACATTGCGAATATTTTTTATATTTCTTTAAAAATTAAATATAATTTATTAAAAATATTTCATAAAAAATTATTATTAATTACATATTTCCTTAATTTTCAAAATTATTTAGATAATTTAGTTAATTATATCCAATCAACGACAAGTAAAATCGCTTAAATTTTAAATTAAAAATATTTTAAAAATATTTATTTTAAAATGAATAACACAACATTGAAATTACCTGTTAGTTTATTTATACGTTTCTAAATTTCAATTTCTGACAAAGATCAAGGATTTCTCTATAAATTGGAAAAAATTCCCTTATCAATGATTCTTTATCTTTTTCTTTCCTATGGCAGAGGTCTCTCCGATGATGACATCCCTTCAATTTACTTGATAACTAGAGCTGTGAATTTTATGCATTAAAAAATGCAAAATATGCACTATAATATGCATAAAAAATTGCCGAAATATGCACAAAAATATGCAAGAAACCCAAAATATCCACGAAAATATGCATGAAAAATACAATTTATACCTAGAAATTTTACATTT